CGTTTCCTGAAGAGCAGCAGCAGCTTGAAAAGCTAAATGCAGTATCCCTAAGGCTTCTTTTACTGTTTTTTAGTTAAAAACAGACAAGGTAAGTTGCTGAGATAAATTTTAAACTGTGTGCTTTAGTTTAACTTGTTTGAATAGCCCTTCAAATAGAAACACACTCCAGTTTTACAAGTATGGTGGTTAAAACCTGCAAAATGAAGCAGAACAAAGCTCTGCCCTGTTGCATCCTTGCTTGATGGACATTCCTCTCTTGTTCCTGGGTGTTGTGTACTGCCAGGGACATGACAAGTAAAACTCTAGGTCTGGAGCCAGCACAGCAGGAGGCTTCATTAGCCATGAACAGGCGCAAAACAGGGCTTCAGAAGGAGCAGTGCCCTCTCTGAACAACCAGCTTCACCACAAGCACATAATCAGCCGGACAGTCTGTAACATACGCTTTGGATAAAGACTGACCTATGAACATGAGACAGCTATGGCTTAAGTGTTTCAAAAGATCTTTGCCCAACAAGGAAACAAATTATATATTAAAACCTTTTACAGAATACATGTTCTGTTTTTTCTCTGCTAATATCTTCCTTGGTTGAAGGTTGGCTGTTGCCCAAATGCATCCAGAGCAACACTTGATGATAACTCAAAAATGTGCAGTTAATCTGCGTGTAGTTTCAGCTCCTGAATGCCAGGAACGAAAGGGTATTCTTCAGAGAGAAATAGGCTTGATCACACAGTATAATCATGTTTACGCAAGTCTGTAGATAGCCAAGATAAGAGAAATACTTCCGTAAACTCCTCTGAGAAAAGACGAAAACTCTAAGGTGAAAAATTTCTCTTTTTCAATGTCATTTTATCTACAAACAAGCATAAGCCCCAGTAGAGAGCTTCCTGTACTACAGCAAGAAAAACTAGCTTGCCTTTTTTTTTTTAACCTTACAGCTATATTTCATCATAAAAACTAGTTTGAAGAAAGAGTAAACTTTTGCTCTTTGGTCTATCTTGACATTCCTCCAGAGACACGTAACAGGAATATTTCAGATTCATTTTTGTCTCCCACTTGCAGGAAACAGGAAAGTTGCAGTTCTTAATTTCCAGCCCTCTGAAATGAGAGAGATAAAGAATTCATACATTGAAACAAGACATCTTTGCTTCCTTTAAAGAGAAAAAAACCCAACAACTAAATAAAATAGAACTATTACAACTTAAAAGCAGTGTTTTAGTGAAATTGTTTATTTTTGTCTTAACCATAATAAAAACATTTAGTTATGCCACATGCATCTCCCATTTGTTATCTGTGTAACCCTACTAGGTGAGAAACAAAAAGGTGTACTCATATTCCAGTATGATGTAGACTTCAGACTGTACCTTACTGTAGTAAATGTTCCTGATGAAACCCAATACTGCTGAATGAGACTTAAATAAGTCAGATTGTTGTTTAATAGGAACAATTTTGTGGGTGCAAAGGAAAGGTCTTCAAACACCTTCTATCTATATCTGAATGAATGAAGATGAAAACATTTAGGGCATCGGTTTTGGCAGCCTCCCCTCAGGAGCTTCTTTATGGCACTGAAGATGCTCACAGTCAGAGCTCTGGGGTTCCTCCCACATTCAGAAGAGCTGAGGGTGGTAAAACCCCGTGTTGTGTGTTACAATCATTCTGATGCTCTGCCAGTTCTGAAGAAGTGCAAGAATGTATCAGCAGCTGTGGGCAGCCATGGCCTAAGTCACAACCAACTGAGGAAAACTACCACCCCCCACCATCAACCCAGATACCCAAAGCCAAACTGGCACAGGAAGAGCAGGCACCTGCTGCTGTTGATGAAATTAGAGGGATCCTTAAAGCTCACAGGGGTCCTTTACAGGCTTTTACTTTTGCAGAGTGGGTCAGGCTCATAAATTCACCTCACTGTGCAAATACTACCTTTTAAAAACAAACAAAATAATACTTCTTCCTAGTGGCAGACTTGTCTCCATGTAAATCTTATTCTGACGGGTGATTGATATATATAGAATACATACAGACAGCTGCTAAGGAAACAGTTTGAACCTTCTTAGTATATGAGCTATGCAGTACAATTTAAATAGGATAGTGGCCAGGGATGAAGAACTAGACAGATTCCTTCAGGTTCATTTCCAGGTATTGTTTTAGTTTTTTTACTAGAGCATGTTCCTCCAGAGAGACTGTAATATTGTGTGTTTCATGTATTAGCTATTTGTCAATAGAAAAAAACAAAGTTGACTTTTCTGACAATTTTTTTGCTTTTATGATTTTTAATATGACTATTAGATCATATTCTAATGATCAACATTCTGCACATTTTGTGAGAGCTAGCATCTGTTTCACTAACACAGTGAAGTGGTAGAAAAAAATCAGAGGCTAATGACATGCATTGTTTCAGCTCAGTAACAGCCCCACACAGCTATCCCTAGAAGCAGGAACTTTTGCCTGTCTCTCTCTCACAAGTGTCATGAAGAGGATTATATTGCAGAGGAGAATACAAACTGCACACTAAACCAACTATTCTCAGCTTTGCATGCGTGTTTATAATGAAACATCTGCAGCTCTTCCACAAATCTCTATTTTTCAGTTACCGTATCTGAAAGATGTGAATCAGTCCTAATGAGTTGGCACAATATCATATTAGTAGAAATTTTACATCGTACACTAAAACCCTAAGAATTCATATCAAGCACAAAAAAAACCCTAATGCTTTGATTTGCCATCATAGAAATAAACTCACAAATACGCCAAATCAGCAACAGTGTGGGTTCACTTGGGTGAAAGAATATTACACTTCAGAAAACTGAGAGTAAAGATTATATGGGAATATTGTTTCTCTTTATCCAAAATGAGAAATGTACAACTCTAGCATATGAACGGGATGAATTTCAGAGGTGATGAACAGTGACTACCTTGTGTAGTGTTCACTGGGTTTTACAATACTCTCAAGGCATATATTTCTATTGTTAAAGGTAGGAACACACGTGCGTATATGCCTACATTGATGAAAAATATATATGATCAAGCTGTTTTTTTCTTAAAAAGGCTTAAGCTTAGGCGAGGTGAATCACTCATCTGTCTGCTGCCTGCAATACCTCCCTAATGAAATTAAAATAATTTATTAACAGTTGGATATGTATTTCCTACCTATTATGTTTTGCTGACTTTGTTAGCAGTTCTTTCTTTTTACACCTGAGAAAACATCATCACTGACTAAAAGCCAAGTTTAACGTTTTCATTTCATGCACAACTTCAAATGAAAGGCCTTCACAGTTGGAATGGAGGATTTAATCTGCTTAATTACTGTTGTTCTTCAAACCTTTCCATTCCGTGTTTTGGACAGATTTATGTAAGACTAGGCAGTAAACACCCGATTAAGCAGGCTGTGTGAATCTGCACATAGATTTACATCAGGATTCTACAGTCATTTCAAATGATTCAGAAGTAATTACATGACTGACACATGATGAATCAATATGTATGCAATGAAGCCATCAGACACAGAACGTGTATCAGTAACACAAATGGGATATATGCCAAGAAGCGGTATGCTTAACACTACCCAGCAACAGAATAGTCAGTTGATGGTTTGCATACAAGGTAGTAATTACCTGTGCATGTGGGTCAACTTTCAGGCTGACTGCTTTTTACTTGTCTTGACTGATACACACAAAATGGCAAAATCTGCTCTCACCAGATGTTGTGTGAATGCTGTGACATTCAAGTATGGGCAAGTGAACAGTTAATTTGGTTGTGAACAGTAACCTTGTTGGGTTGTGCAAACCTCTCCCCTTTTCCAAACAATCCATCAAAACACAGAAACAGAAAATGAAAGCCAGTTCTCTCAAACCAGAGTAGCAAGGATTGGTAGAGCAGAGCTATAAAGCACCTGGTTCCATCACAGTCCTATTAGCTCATGGTCATGTTGTTGTTCTGGTAAAAGTAACCATTTTACTCTCCAGACTGATTTACTGAGGGATGAGAGAGTCTTAAATGATAAGAATAAAGAGACCCATCACAAACTGGTTTGTTTCAGTTAGGATTACATCCTCTTTTGCTCCACCTAGTATGTAACAAGACTAAAATGGAGCAGCATGGAATATTTTCATAACAACTTGGATTTTAAAGTGAGGAATCATAGAATAGTTTGGGTTGGAAGGCACCTTCAAAACTCATCTGGTCCAATCTTCCCTGCAATGAGCAGGGACATCTTCAACTAGATCAGGTTGCTCAGAACCACATCCAGCCTGGCCATAAATGTCTCCAGGGATGGGGCCTCTACCACCTCTCTGGGCAACCTGCGCCAGTGTTTCACCACTCTCATTGTAAAAAATTTCCTCATGCTCTACGAAAAATTAAAGCAGGACACCGAGAAGATTAAGTGCTCAGAGAAGGGGAGGAGGTGGCGAGCAGCTGCAACGTTTAAGGAAAAGGGAGAGAACCCAACATGGAAAACAGCCAGGATACGAGGACAGATTTGTGTTTCTGAAACGCTTATTAACATTTGAGAGAGATGACGGCAATTGAAAAGAAAAGGAAAAACAAAGCAAAGTTCATGACAAAGCTGAGAAACATCTCCCCTGATACCTAGGTAATGACAGAAACACAAGAGTAATATCCAAGATGAACTCGATGATTATTTCTTTTGAGGTGAGTAACAAGACATGATTTCTTCAAACTGACTTTTTTAATAGCCAAGAGCAGTAAAATTGCTACCCAGCTCTTCTTCATGCCAGACTGAGATGGGAAATCCAAAAGGCATCATCGATGTGCAGCATCAGCGCACACCACCAAAATGCCAGCCACCAGTCAGCAAATGGGAAACCCATATAATAAAGCGCAAATTATGAAATGTTCCCTTAAGTGTAGAGTCCTCAATGAAACCAGGGCCTAGATGAACACCTGACAACCCTTTTTATATGCATACTAGAGACAAACATCCTCATCCCAGCTGAAACAGGAAAATAAAGACTGTTGACTGACCTGAATTTGGATGTCACTCTCAAAACAATCCTTTCACTTGCTCTGTGATGGGGTCAAGGTCAATGTCATAGAAGCATGGCCTTGTGGGCAGTCCTGGCATGGTGCTCATCTATGGAAACAATAAAATGAAGTTACACTCCTGCACCTGTAAGCAGATAATCACTCCACCCATGTAAACCTTAGATTATGAGAAAGGCTGCATTGTTCATCATGAACTCAACTGCAGCTGTGATCTTCACCACATTTTTTTGTTTCTGCTAAAAATGTCAAGCTTGCTACTTTCTAGATTCATTTTTAAGTGTACATTTCGTAAAGACAGGAAAGAGAAAATACAAGCCAAAATATGCAGGCTACCACAGCAACCTAAGAATAAACACCTTAACAAAATGAAGATACTCTGGGACTTGTTCCTCTGAATATTTATCCAGAACATTCATTCATTTACATCAACTGGGGAAAACCACACAGGAAATGGCAAGGACATAACTGCCCAAATTCACCTGATGATACGAATGTGCTGAACTCAGACCTCTCCCACAGAAAACCAGAATACAGGAGCAGAATTAATCATAACACTTTCATGACTGATTACTTAATATAAGGAACAAATCGAAATAGTTCAACAAAATATACATGGAATACAGCTGAATCCTAATTTAGTAGTTAGTGGTAGCAGGTTGAGTTATGAAGCTAAAGCAACCCAATTATCTCAAACTATGCATAATTAAGATCCTGATCTAGCATAATACACTGGCATCTGCATACTGAAAAGCATGTAAATAGCTTCATGAACTTAAATTACAGAGTTAACTACAGGTCTGCTCAAGCTACTTACACTATTACTTACAGTTGGCATTTTAGCAGCAATTAAAGACATGTGGGTCACATGGAAATCTTGAGGAGCTGGTCCGCAATAGCTTAAGCCTCTTTAAATCAGAGTTACTTCAGCTTCTCACCTCCTCCGCCCCAGAACTCCCTCCTTCTCCCTTCTGAAGGAGACGTCTGGAGAGCAGGTTCAACAGAATAATGCTAATTTTCCATCTGCTTCACCTTCTGCTGTTTCAGGACCTTGAGCCAGGAGCGGTTTCCCCAGCACAGTGCTGGGGAAAGGCTGCAACTATGGGGCAGTTTTAAGGCAGGACCAGCTTGGGCCAACCTGAACCACTCTGTATTCATAACCTAAGTCTTCCTAAGATGACAGAAGGATGCCCTGAATATATCACCAAGTTTCCACTAATTCACAGCACTCATTTGGGCTTAAAGACTCCATAAACCCTTTTCATGTCTTAACCTCAGAGATGGAGGATGGCCCTGCTATATTAGGTCCTATATTAATACCCAAAGAGATGGAAGACCTTACAATCTCTGGAAAAAACCTGCAGTTCAGCTTAGCTTAACTGTTTGTTGGCTAAGAGCCTTTTTGCATTAGAATTTATTTAATAGATTCTAGGTTTTGAGCAACAAAATTTTAGCTGAGGCAAGTCAGCAGAGCTCATTAAAGTTGGTGGTTAATCTGAGCATTATACTGGCTTGCGTACTAGAAACACTCCAAACACAATAACCTAAGGAAAGGGTCAGATTGAGGTATGTTTTCACGATGTGAGCTGAAACCCAGTGCTGAAAGGGCACAGTTTCACCCTATGAACCCCCGGGATGACTCTCCCTTGGAGCTGGCTATAGCACTCATCTTACTGCAGGGCAGAGGACAGAACACCATGGCCAGACATCACCTCCCAGCAGAGAGCACAGGGCTGGGCAGCATCCTCCCTCTGTCCTCCCTAATTCCTCAGGTGGAATTAGGGCACAACTCAGCTATGGTGTTTTCTCTGGCCAAAGGCAAGCTTTAAATTGCTAATTGGCCTCAAAAGAGGAAAAATACATCACCACCAACCCAGTTCCTGCAGAGAGCCAGACATACAGGCCTCCTTTGGGCTGGAGCAGGCTGCACACACAGCGATGGAGTTAGCATCTCCCATATGCTTTAGCTTCGCTCCAAATGCTCATGTAATGTTTTTCCATTGTGAGAACACAAGTAAGATCTCTGCACTACAGTCTCATTTACTTCAGAGAGCTCTGATGCCATTTCAGAGGTTAATCCCACACTGGGAAGGGGGAAAAGGAGCTCAGAGACTACTGGTGCAGCCACCACCTCACTTGAGATCTAGCTCTGAAAAAAACCAATGCAACTAGCTTTTCTAGTGGACTTAGTACATTTCCTCTGTTTTTAAATATAGTCCTTCCTGATTTTTTGTTATTGCACGCAGTAGGATTAAAAGACAAAACTGTCATTTTGCACTGACCAAGCTCTGTCACTGATTGCATGACATCATATTATTGGCTGACATTGCCTTGGCATCTTAGCTAAGTACTAAAACACCTTGTTAGTATTCTTTATCTGCTGGCCACACTAGTTGGAGTACTATATCATTAGGGTAACTAAATTATTTTCTGTCTCAGATTCATCCTAGTTTCTGAGTTAACACTTGACAAGAAACTGCCTTAATGAATTACATCTCACTGGGAGGGGAATGAGCAAATTGCCAAAGACAACTTTCTGGTTACTCTGTGCATGGCAGTTCTACATCCAAAAGTAAACTCCCAAATTCCAGGTCTCCTCCCCCCACCTTTTTTTAAATACATCTACAAGCTTGGTCACTCTTCATTTTGCCTGTACAATAAAAACTGAAATCAGTTTAGGGAAGACTTTTTTTTAACAAAGTTTAAAAGAAGTCCTACATACGTGTTTTGGATTTGGGTTTTTTTGGGGTTTTTTTTTCATAGGCCCAGTGCTACATGAGTGTAACTCCACTGTACTAAGTTATAGAAATCTATTACATCTATAAAATGTGACTATCAAACCAGTTTATTGCCAGTTCAGGGAATACAACTATTCGCATATTGAAAATGTAAGTCAACAAAAGGGAACGAGTTCATCTGAATTAAAATTACTGCTGCGTAAAATGAAGTACAAGGCAAAAATCCCACAGAGGAAACACTCTGGGATGACTACCTGTGTGAATTACAGAGCGAAAATAAAACACATCCTGTCATTTTCCCCATGGCCCAGACTTCCAAACAGGCAAAGCCATGTAGATTTACGAACACTTCTCTCTGCTCTCATTTGGATACAGAAGTAACATGTAGCAGAATCTATCCCTTTTTCATTACTTCAGGGTCAATAGGAGGAGACGGCTGGCTGATGGAGGAGATTACTACTGATTATTCCCTCTCCAGCCCTCCATTTCTTTCCTGCAGCCAAAAAGGCAGAAGAGAAAAGAGGGCTCAGTCAAGCTGAGAGGTTGAGGCTTCAGCTGACTGGCTTTCCACTTGGCTGCAGGCTCAGAATGATCTTCTTCCCTCTCACTGTTTTCCATTATACTGAATGAAGGCATTAATGAAGGAGTTCACAGGCTGGTCTTAACCCCAGCAGACATGACCCAGAAGTATCCCTCTCCCTGCTCTGAGTAACTGGAGCTGGATTTTTGCACAGAGTGGGGAGATGCTAGCCTGCCCCCCGGCTGCAGCATATACCATACCTGCACAGTGGCTGGCAACTACCTCCACCTCTCCAAGGCTTTCTGAGATAACTACTTACTAAAATTACTTGATTTCTAAAACTTGAAAAGAGGAGAATGAACAGTGAAAGAGAAAATATGCCTGAAACATAAATCACATTGGTAATGAGCAGGTACGAACAGCATGAAAAAAACCCCACAGATTTCCAGTCATACAGCAGCTTTGTAGGCATTTCCTACAATACACACCCCCATATATTGCATGGACATGAGCATAACTTTCCACTCTAATATAATAATGTCACACAGGGTGTCTGCGATAAAAGAGCAGGGTAAGAAGTAGTGAATGACAACACATTATCCACTTAAGACCGCAAACTGAATTTAGGTGGCCAAAATAATCAGCACTTAATTTGACCAGAACAGTTACTATCACACTTACCCTGGGAGAAGGAATATATAAGGCATAAACTTTGTACCTTAAGACTTAATGTAATTCATATGCATGCTTTATGCAGGGGAAAAAAAAAAGTTTTTTTTGAAGAACTCATCCATAATATATCATATAGGAATTAATAGGAACTAGTTTAGTAGGATCTCACTGGAATCAACCATTTTCTCTGCAAACTGTGCAACTGTCTACACATCCATGAGAGCAAATCAAACGCAGAAAGATGATGTGAAAAAATACAATGCCTATTTATGACTATGGCACTCTATATGTTTAGGAGGTAAAAGCAGCAGTTCTTACAGTCAGTTATCCTCAGGATTGTTTACACTCCTGGAAATGCACTGGTGGAAAATAAAACACAATTTTAGTTACAAAAGTCTGAAGGCTACTGTTATTTATGCTACCCATTTATGATCTTCCAGAAGTCTATTTACATGACTAAACAACCCCTGGCCCCCCAAAAACATAAGGAGCTTCCTTATAAAAGGGGGATGCCAGTGATTTTTAAGGAAGCTATATGAATATGCTGTTCCACACCGTCTCCAAGAACACATCCACTGTCACTGGAAGAGTGACTAAGCTGAGCTTCACTGGAGTTTCATTTAAAGCACAGTTACGAGCTGACTTGTAATTTCAGTTAGCTGTAAGTTCTACGTAACAGTTGCACAGTCAAGCATTAAGACTGCTAGCAAGGTTTGTTATGGTCCCAAGAGGAACTATGCTGCTAAGCTTCCTTTTTTATCATACAAATACCTGCCAGGGGTTGACATATCCTGCCTTTTACTTCAAGTGTATATCCATACATACTTCTCACCCCCACCGCTTCATTTATCTATGTGAAAAATTCTAATAGGACCTGAGATCATCTTAACTGGGTTAGCACAATGGCATGATTTGCAAAACAGATGGTCCCGAGGACTACATCCAACTCATGTTTAGTGTCTTTTTCACCTATAAGACAAGATGTGTCTGTTTTATAGACATAGCATAGTTTCTAACTAGAGAAAGGAAACCAGAGGAATCTGTCCTTACACAAAGTAGAGAAAACAAAAGGTTAGAAGATACCAAAAAAATCAGCAAACAGCTTATTGAGGAAACGTCCCTATTCCGTGGTTTAAGGAGTTAAATGTTGCATTTGACAAG